CTAGACGCAGCCTTAGACTTACAGCGAAACAAAGTGGGGAATTAAGTTCCTACAGCTGACTTCCATTTCCGCAAATTGTTCCACAACTTAAGGGGGGGGCGGGGAATGGGAGGATTTATAATGCATCAGTTCCTACAAGTGCCAACAACTTTAGTGCAGAATGGATGTATACCAGGGCAACTTATAGCGGGGATACCCTGTATATCTTATTTTGGTGTATGTAAGGAAGAAAGAGGAGTAGCAAAATACACTCCCTGGACTTCAGAAAAGCAGACTTTGACTCTCTCAGAGAACTGATGGGGGTGGATTCCCTGGGATGCTAACATGAAGGGGAAAGGAGTCCAGAAGAGCGAGCAGCATTTTAAAGCCTTATTAAAGGCACAGGAAGAAACCATCCCAATGCACAGCAAAAAAGCAAATATGGTAGGAGACCAGATTGACTTACCAGGGACATCCTTGGTGAGCTTAAACACAAAAAGGAAGCTTACAAGAAATGGAAACTTAGATAGATGACTAGGGAGGAGTATAAATATATTTCTTGAGAATATCAGGAAGGCAAAAGCGCAATTGGAATTGCAGCTAGCAAGGGATGTGAAGGATAATAAGAAAGGTTTCTACAGCCATGTTATCTATAAAAGGGCCATCAGAGAGGGTGTGGGATCCTTGCTGGATGAGAGAGGTAACCTAGTGACAGATGATGTGGGAAAAGCTGAAGTACTCAATGCTTTCTTTGCTTCTGTCTTCATGGACAAGGTTAGCTCCCAGACAAATGCACTAGGCAACAGAACATGGGAAGGAGATGGACAGCCTTTGGTGGGGAAAGAACGAGTTAGGAACTATTTAGAAAAGTTAGACATACACAAATCCATGGGCCCGGATTTAATGCATCGGAGGGTACTGAGGGAGTTGGCAAATGTCATTGTGGAGCCTTTGGCCATCATCTTTGAAAACTCATGGGCTACGTCTAGACTGGCATGATTTTCCACAAATGCTTTTAACAGAAAAGTTTTTCCGTTAAAAGCATTTGCGGAGAAGAGCATCTAGATTGGCATGGACGGTATTGCGCAAAAGCATTTTTTGCGGAAAAGCATCCGTGCCAATCTAGACGCGGTTTTGCGCAAGAAAGCCCTGATCGCCATTTTCACCATCGGGGCTTTTTTGTGCAAAACAATACCGTGTTGTCTACACTGGCCCTCTTGTGCAAAAGCATTTGCGCAAGAGGGCTTTAGCCCGAACGGGAGCAGCATAGTATTTCCGCAAGAACAGTGACTATCTTACATGAGATCGTCAGTGTTCTTACGGAAATTCAAGCAGCCAGTGTAGACAGCTGGCAAGTTTTTCCGCAAAAGTTTTTCTGCTTTTGTGGAAAAACTTGCCAGTCTAAACGCAGCCCTGGAGATTGGGAGAGATCCTGGATAATTGGAAAAAGGCAAATGTAGTACCCATCTTTAAAAAAGGGAAGAAGGTTGATCCAGGGAACTACAGACCAGTCAACCTTACCTCAGTCACCGGAAAAATCATGGAAGGGGTCCTCAAGGAATCCATTTTGAAACACTTGGAAGAGGGGAAAGTGATCAGGAATAGTCAACATGGATTCACGAAGGGCAAGTCGTGCCTGACCAGTTTGATTAGCTTCTATGAAGGAACTGGCTCTGTGGATACGGGAAAGTCAGCGGATGTGATATACCTTGATTTTAAGCGAAGCTTTTGGTATGATCTCCCACAATATTCTTTCCAGCAAGTTAAGGGAGTATGGATTGGATAAATGGACTGTAAGATGGATAGAAAGATGCCTAGACTTCAGGCCCAATGGTAGTGATCAATGGCTCGATGTCAGGTTGGCAGTCGGTTTCTATCGGAGTGCTCCAAGGATCTGTTCTAGGACCGTTTTTTTTTCAAACATCTTTATTAATGACCTGGATAAGGGAATGGATTGCACCCTCAGCAAGTTCACAGATGACACTAAGCTAGGGGGAGAGGCAGATACACTAGAGGGCAGGGATAGGGTCCAGAGTGACCTGGACAGATTAGAGGATTGGGCCAAAAGAAAACTGATGAGGTTCAGCAAGGACAAGTGTAGAGTCCTGGACTTGGGATGGAAGAATCCCAAGCATTGTTACAGGCTAGAGACCGACTGGCTAAGTAGCAGTTCTGCAGAAAAGGACCTGGGGAGAACAGTGGATGAGAAGCTGGATATGAGTCAGCAGCGTGCCCTTGTAGCCAAGAAAGCTAATGGCATATTAGGTTGCATTAGGAGGAGCACTGCCAGCAGATCCAGAGAAGTGATTATTCCCCTTTATTTGGCTCTGGTGAGGCCACATCTTGAGTACAGGCAGTCCCTGGGTTGCGTACAAGATAGGGACTGTAGGTTTGTTCTTAAGTTGAATCTGTATGTAAGTCGGAACTGGCGTCCAGATTCAGCCGCTGCTGAAAC